AACATCATAATTTCCAGTTTTCACTGTGTTTTTATGACCGTGGTTTAACCGTGACGGCTTAAACTGGTGTCATGGAGCGTTATGTTGAAAGGGTTTAATGGGACTGGTGACATTTATGGGACAAGCTGTTGACTTTGTTTTATGCATTATGATTGTCGTGGCATTTGTGATTTTGATGCCGAAAATACAGTTTTGCATGTCTTGTTTAGACTGTCCCAAAGTGGGGATTCTGAGCTTGGAGAGGTCAGCAGAGATAGACATTAGTCCCCGCTTATGTGCCACTAGATAGAGAAGGCAACGGTGCAAGGAATTCATTGTGACATAGATCGCTAATACGTCGAACCGATCTCCATGAAAGGGTTGAAATGTGGCATAGATCGCTTATACGTCATGTCTATCTCCATGCAAGGGTTGCAATGTGGCATAGATCGCTAATACGTCATGCCTGTTTCCATGTAAGGATTGCAATGTTGCATAGATCGCTAATACGTCATGCCTGTATCCATGTGAGGATTGCAATGTTGCATAGATGGCTAATACGTCATGCCTGTCTCCATGTAAGGGTTGCAATGTGGCATAGATCGAAAATGCGTCATGCCTGTTTCCATGTAAGGATTGCAATGTGGCATAATCACTAATACTTCATTCACGTCTCCATGTAAGGGTTGCAATGTGGCATAAATCGCTAAGAGGTCATTCCTATCTCCATGTAAGGGTTGCAATGTGGCATAGATAGCTAGTACGTCGTTCTTGATTCCCTGTGATGATTGCAATGCGGCATAAATTGCTAATACGTCATGTCTGTTTCCATGTAAGGATTGCAATGTAGCACAGATCGCTAATACGTCATGTCTGTCTCTATGTTAGGATTGCAATGTGGCATAGTTCGCTAATACGTCATGCATGTTTCCATGTGAGGGTTGCAATGTGGCATAAATAGCTAGTACGTCGCTCCTGATTCCCTGTGATGATTGCAATGCGGCATAAATTGCTAATACGTCATGTCTGTTTTCATGTAAGGATTGCAATGGGGCACAGATCGCTAATACGTCATGCCTGTCTCTATGTTAGGATTGCAATGTGGCATAGTTCGCTAATACGTCATGCATGTTTCCATGTGAGGGTTGCAATGTGGCATAGATAGCTAGTACGTCGCTCCTGATTCCCTGTGATGATTGCAATGCGGCATAAATTGCTAATACGTCATGTCTGTTTCCATGTAAGGATTGCAATGGGGCACAGTTCGCTAATGCGTCATGTCTGTCTCTATGTTAGGATTGCAATGTGGCATAGTTCGCTAATACGTCATGGTTGTCTCCATTTGAGGTTTGCAATGTGGCATAGATCGGTAATACGTCATGCCTGCCTCTATGTGAGGGTTGCAATGTGGCATAGATCGCTAATACGTCATTTCCGTCTCCATGTAAGGGTTGCAATGTGACATGTATCGCTCATACGTCATGCCTGTCTCCATGTAAGGATTGCAATGTGGCATAGATCGCTTATACGTCATGCCTGTTTCCATGTAAGGATTGCAATGTGGCATAGATCGCTAATACGTCATGCCTGTCTCCATGTAAGGGTTGCAATGGTTGTCTCCATTTGCGGTTTGCAATATGGCATAGATCGGTAATACGTCATGCCTGCCTCTATGTGAGGGTTGCAATGTGGCATAGATCGGTAATACGTCATTTCCGTCTCCATGTAAGGGTTGCAATGTGACATGTATCGCTCATACGTCATGCCTGTCTCCATGTAAGGATTGCAATGTGGCATAGATCGCTAATACGTCATGCCTGTTTCCATGTAAGGATTGCAATGTGGCATAGATCGCTAATACGTCATGCCTGTCTCCATGTAAGGGTTGCAATGTGGCATAGATCGCTAATACGCCATGCCTGTCTCCATGTAAGGATTGCAATGTGGCATAGATCGCTAATACGTCACGTCTGTCTCTATGTTAGGATTGCAATGTGGCATAGATCGCTAATACGTCACGTCTGTCTCTATGTTAGGATTGCAATGTGGCATAGATCGCTAATACGTCACGTCTGTCTCTATATTAGGATTGCAATGTGGCATAGATCTCCAATACGTCATGTCTGTCTCTATGTTAGGATTGCAATGTGGCATAGATCGCTAATACGTCACGTCTGTCTCTATGCTAGGATTGCAATGTGGCATAGGTCGCTAATACGTCACGTCTGTCTCTATGTTAGGATTGCAATGTGGCATAGATCGCTAATACGTCACGTCTGTCTCTATATTAGGATTGCAATGTGGCATAGATCGCATTCATTCTGCATGAAACCAGGAAATGTACACATGAGCTTGTGCGTTGTTTAGTCTACCAAGTCACCAAAGGACGGGTAAGGGACGTTTTTTGTGTAAATTATGAAGTACTAGAGTAAATTCATTTTTCATATGCATATAAACCGGAAGCGAAACATACCTTGCTTTTTTAAAATACACCTTTTAAGGAAGCCGAGTATTCTTCAACAAAGTCTGCAGTCTACACATCTGATAAGAATAAACAACTGAAGTATAGAAGTGTTCAAGGATATATTAGGAGTTAATGTTTTATACTGAAAGGCAAAAGAAACGTCGAAACGTCATTGGGAATGACATTTAAGTATCAATGGAGTACTTGAACCTAATATATACTGACACACATTGAAAACGCAAAACCCATTTTGGCAATTTCTAACAAAGTTTTCATTTACCACACGAAAATATAGTGATGTGAGGTTGCCGAATAAAACCATATGCACATCTGGGTTCGAAACCTTTACCTGTTTCTGGCATGGGTACAGTTCATGAAAACACAACTCTGGCATATTCCTTGGACCTGTTGGGGTGCATGATTATCATGACATACACATGCAAAGCCGGGTTTTGGACGCATAAAAGGCACTATGGTTCAACCGTTTCACTAGCAGTCACAAAATGCCACGGCTCAGTGAACAGCAGAGGGAACAAGCTATCGGGATGCTGTTGGTGGGAACATCACAAAATGAGGTCACCCACCACTTCGGAGTGAGCCCATCCACCATCAACAGACTCTAAAATCGTCTTCAGCAAACTGGAAGCGTCCGTGACCGTCCCTTACCAGTACAAACTCCGGTCACGACGGCACGTCCAGACCGGCACATCCGACGAGTTCACCAAATAAACCGCTTTCAGACAGCAGTAAACTCACCTCGAAACACCGTAGGGTGTAAAGGACGCCACATCACCGCCATAACAGTCATTTGACGTCTGCAGGCTGTGGCACTAAGGGGCCATATCGGGAAACGTCATTACGCAACGTCATCGAGTCAACAGGCTCCTGTTTGCACAGCAACATAGCCTCCAACCACCATGAATCTCCAACCAGTGGGTGTTTTTCAATGGGTCCAGGTTCTGTGTGTCATTTGCAGATGGCAGACAACGCGTCTACAGGCAGCACATAAACATGAGCTTGGTCGCCGGATTCATCAATGTCAACGTCAACGTCAGCCAAACAACGTCGCTGAGTTGACCCTGGCTTTACAACAGGAGTTGCAGAACATCCCCCAAGCACCAGTTCGACGTTTGTGCGAATCCATGCCACGTCGACTCCGTGCATGTGTACAGGCTCAGGGAGGTCACACTCGCTACTGGCGGACGTAAGGGGGGTCTGTGTGTGACGCTCGACGTGTCAGTCATATTGGCGGAACTCTTGCAATCATTCTTTATGAAAATGAAGCACAATGAAATTCTCAACATAACTGTAGAACAATTTCCATCCAAGTATTGTTGTTTGTTAAGTTTTCCTCATTTGAATTTGGTTTTGCGTTTTCAATGTGTGTCAGTATACATCGGAAGTCAGGTTTGAGGAAACATGAATCGTGGTCGTATAGCCTGTTTTGCCCAATAGGGCCTGAATAAAGTATTGTTTGAGATTGAGGTTAGAAATGTTTTTTGTTTGTGGAAAGGAAAGAGTTCGCACAACAATTAAAAAAGATGCACGTGCATCGTGCATGCATTCAGGATATAAATTGCCGCCTTGAATGGCAATCGTTCACTTGTTGTCTGAACGCAGCAGCTATGGCTAGGATACTTACATTACAATCAATGTCCTTCGACTGTAAGTCTGGGTGGTTAAAGCGTTCGCTCGTCACGCCGAAGACCTGTGTTCGACCCCACATGGGTACAATGTGTGAAGCCCATTTCTGGTGTCCCCCCGCCGTGACAATGCTGGAAAATTGCTTAAAGTGGCGTAAAGCAAACTCACTCAGTCCACAAAGAAAACTTACTTCAAGACATGTATGGTAGTCATGCAGACTTGAGTTTCTTTCTGCGATTGGATTCGTTCTGTAGTTGTAGAGGGAACATTCCTCTATCTTAATAGTCCAGGACTTGATCCTACCTAAGATCAATTTATACAGCTTCTCCATGCTGAATTTGAACAACACGTGGCCATGCTATTGAGAGAGTTGGTTGAAATGTGGGGGAAGTAAGTGATTGTGTCGAAACCGTTCCTGTCAGGAAGTTACATTTCAACGATTAAGTAAAATTCTGAAAATTCTCAACTTACAAATTGGGTTCGCTATCCACAAATGTGGTGTGTTTAACAGCATATCGAACAATGATTCCAGAAGACAATGCGGTCAGCGTTACGACGGTATCCTTGGAGCTTTGGTTGACATACCAATGAGAGTTGGTTGTTGTTTAACGCCGCACTCAGCAATATGCCAGCTATGTGCCAGCAGTCTGTAAATAATTGAATTTGGATCAGACAATCCAGTGATCAACTTGATAAGCATTGATCAACGCAATTGGGATACGGTGACATGTGTCACCCACGTCAGCGAGTCTGACCACAATATTCCGTTAGTCGCCTCTTACGATATGCATGGGTAGCTGAAGATCACTTCTATCCCGGATCTTCACGGGAACACCGGATGAAGATCAAGCTGCAAAATATTTAACCTCATTTCTAGCATTATTGCTTGAAATTGTTTGTCTGTCTGTTTCAGTAATGGTAAGACCACGCCGTGGCGGAATGTTCTCCCATATCTCCGACATGTTTCTGCACGTGCCAGGCACAGACAGTCAACCGGGCACCTACGGCACTAACTCAGTTGGCAGGTGGTACGCCATGCCTCCTGCCGCGCCTGCGTACTGCAACTGGTGGGTAGCTTCCGGTGTGAAGAGCAAGAATGGTCGAGATTTCCAACCCAATATTACCGTGACTTGGATAGCACCTCAGCCGACGTACTACGTTTATAACAATCAATACTACGCCAGCCCTATGGATAAAGAGAGGAAACGGCCGTACATATACTTTGTGTAGGTAATTTTTATTCATTGGGGGACCCAAGGTCCGGGTTAGAATTGATCTTCAGTAACCCATGCTTGTCGTAAGAGGCGACAGACGGGATCGGGTGGTCAGGCTCGCTGGATTGGTTGACACATGTCATCGTATCCCAGTTGCGTAGATCGATGTTCATGCTGTTGATCAATGGATTGTCTGGTGCAGACTCGATTATTTAAAAACTAAACTCACTCACTATTCATTTGGGTACAGAATTTCGCAGAATTCCACAACACGGTCGTGCTGGATAGGGCTCCATATCGACATAGGTCAAATCGATCATCGTTAAAATTAATGAATATCGATTGATTATCAATAAATATCGGACGAGGTAAATTCATTAAAAAATGACTAAAAAATGACCAGCAAAACGCCGTCATGAACATACTTTAGTGCTCCTAAAGTATGTTCATGAAAGCGTTTTGCTGGTAACCCATAAATAAACCGAGTAACTTTTAAAATTATTTCATTACAGTAGTTTGTTTACGATATTATCGATTACACAATTTTCATATCGATAATCATTAATAATGATTCCCATCGACGTTATTTCCTACTATCGATTTTGTAGTCAGCCCTAGTGCTGAATAAAGTCAAATGGTTTATGTACTCCTTCGTAACTTCAAAGATACACTTTCGTTTAAAACATCTCACAAAACCAGACGCTTTACTGCTACACAATACGTCTCAAGTGGTGACGTCGCCTCCACAGAAGGTCATGTCAGATGGTGGCGGTGGAGTAGCCTAGTGGTTAAATAGCAATAGCAATATCCCAGCAATATCACGGCTGGGGACACCATAAACGGAATTCACACATTGTACACTTGTGGGGATTCGAACCCGAGTCTTCATCGTGACGAGCGAACGCTTCAACCACCAGGCTACCCTACCGTCCCATCTCATTCTCAGAATAGGTTAGGGACACACTAGGGGACTGCGTTTGCCTTCAGATGCATCTGTTTCCTCCTTCAGTGTTTACGTCACGCCCGATCCCCCTGTTGAAACCCACGCCCCGGGAGCAGCCCATCAGAGACGGTGGTTCTACGCTGCATCAGTCCAAGTAGACAACAATGAGATTAAACAACAAAAAAGAGGTAAGTGTTAATTATAAACCCTCTCGCAGGTTAAATTCGGTCATATCTGATAACTATTAGAGATGACTTTGCTTCAGCTGATTGGTGGTTTTGGGAGTTGTTGTTGGTTTGTATTGTATTGATTATTTACGAAGAGCCTTCATAAGCATATCAGAGGATTTACACTGAGTGAATTTATCATGCATATAATTTGAAGGTTTAATATTCATATGTTTTACCATGACTTCAGTAAATACTGGATTGTGATTGGTTAATCAAAGTCATTCAGAGGTATATAATCACCTTATATACCTCTGATTTTCCAACACAGTATGTGCTTTTTTAAAAATCTTAATAACGCGGTTATGGTAGAATGGAGTTAAACGTACTGTGTTGGTATATAACGAAATTAGAATAGCTCTAATTTTACTTAAACCTCACGCTACGTTTTTCTCCTAATTATCTCATTTTACCTCACTACATGACCCACTAAATGAAAATTGGTAATTGGGAGCTGCTCAGAAACGAGAGCTCAAAATATACATTTATTCATATCATGAGCGTTTTAAATATGTATATCTGACGTTACAAAATCACTGTTTCTGTCACGTCAGATATACATGTCTACATTATCTACTGTTGTGATATTGTACTAATCTCAAACATAATCATCCGTCACGGGTCAATTTGCTGATTACTAATAGAGAATATTCTGTGAATAGTCATATTTTCGTAACGGAAATATATATTATTTATGCATACAGGGCAACAATGTTTTCAATTAGTTTGTACAACAACTGATTCTTGTTTGATAATTACACTGTCTGTGACTATATTTCAAGTGTTCTGTGTTTCTGATTCTCAGCGGCTGCCGTATTTACGCAGACCCTTCGACAATGGGACAGTTTCTTAGAGTCTCTCAACTAAGGCATGTGTTTCCTCCAAGATGAAACGGTTCGGTGTAGTACAACAGAGTTCAACGATATCTGCTATTGTTAGCCAACGGCCTGAATTCAAGAGACATTTCCGATTAGTGTTTCCCACAATCCTCCGCACTGCTTCCGGTAATCATGACATCATCATCTCGCCAAAGGTGGTGAAGTTGACAAACAGAATGGGACTTTGATCTGTTTGAAAGAGACTTCACTTCGTTGTTCCATGTTATCAGGGACGTTTATTTGAAATAACCTCGTCTATCAATGCACAGCAGGTAGTAAACATAGTGTTGAATGAGCATGAACAATCTTCTTCTACCAAGTGTAGTTCTGGAACATACGGTCAAAACAATCCAGTATTTTGTCCTGAAAGTACACACACACAAAAGACACGTTTTGTCAAAGGTTGATTACCATTTGTCAGTTAATCGTTAAATTATTATATATTTGTCTGTGTCTATAAAACATGCAAACTGATGAACACTTTAACCTGGTGTTTGTTCTCGAAACTACGGTTATGTCGACATGATCTTTGTCTCCTCTTTCAAGCTATAACTTTTATTCCGGCCTGGACAGTGAGTGCGTGACTTTTAGTTTTACGCCGCTTATAGCAATATTCTTGCAATATCACACCGGAGGACACCAGAAATGGGCTTTACACTTTGTACCCATGAGGGAATCGAACTCGGGTCTTCGGCGTGACGAGTGAACGCTTTAACCACTAGGCTACCCCACCGCCCCCGGACAGTGTTTCAGTCCTCCCACGGCTTGTTTGCTCCACATGAAAAAAAACTTTGCAAATACAGCAAACTTTTGTCTTCACCACGCTGGTGAAACCCAAGAGGAATAAGTGAGTGGATTTGGTTTAACGCGTCACCATATGGTTGAAATATTGCCGAGGTGACATTATATTTTAACTCACTCACTCACTAGTTTAACGCCGCTATAAACGTTATTTCAGTTGTATCACGGCGTGTCGACTTACAGTGAGTAACTGGGTTTAGTTGTACACCGCTTTTAGCAATATTTCAGCAATATCACGGCTGGGGACACCAGAAATGGGCTTCTCACATTGCAGCCATGTGGGGAATCGGACCCGGGTAGTCAGCGAGACGAGCGGACTCTTTAACCACTAGGCACCCCACCACCCCGACTTACAGTGGAAGGACACTGATAATACTGTAAGCATCGGACGTTTACTATTGTCATGGTGCAAATATCAATGAATACATATAAAAATAAATACATATGATATTCGAAATTTATCAAATTCCCAAATGTACCTATATAGTTATTCTCCTTACACAGATGAGAGTAACTAAATATGTACATTTGTGAATTTTATCAATTACTATATTTTTAAATGTGAAATATGTGCACTATGACACTATTTTGATTCAAAACACGACAAACGAGGAGCCATCATCAGAAGGAATCGAAGACTCGAACAACGATCATTCGGTACAGTCGACGAAAGTTCACTCATGTGATAAAACATAAGGAAAAGTCCGTCATGCAACCCCGGGTACCCATACCACAGATACGTTGGCAAGGAATGGTGGTGAGCTAAGTGCAGAGGTACAGAAAGTTTGCATGTTTGCCTTGGTGACGATAAATGTTTCCTTGGGTTGGCAAGGAATGGTGGTGAGTTAAGTGCAGAGGTAAAGAACGTGTGCATGTTTGCCTTGGTAACGATAAATGTTTCCTTGGGTTGGCAAGGAATGTTGGTGAGCTAAGGGCAGAGGTACAGAACGTGTGCATGTTTGCCTTGGTGACGATAAATGTTTCCTTGGGTTGGCAAGGAATGTTGGTGAGCTAAGTGCAGAGGTAAAGAACGTGTGCATGTTTGCCTTGGTGACGATAAATGTTTCCTTGGGTTGGCAAGGAATGATGATGAGTTAAGTGCAGAGGTAAAGAACGTGTGCATGTTTGCCTTGGTAACGATAAATGTTTCCTTGGGTTGGCAAGGAATGTTGGTGAGCTTAGTGCAGAGGTACAGAACGTGTGCATGTTTGCCTTGGCGACGATAAATGTTTCCTTGGGTTGGCAAGGAATGATGATGAGTTAAGTGCAGAGGTAAAGAACGTGTGCATGTTTGCCTTGGTAACGATAAATGTTTCCTTGGGTTGGCAAGGAATGTTGGTGAGCTAAGGGCAGAGGTACAGAACGTGTGCATGTTTGCCTTGGTGACGATAAATGTTTCCTTGGGTTGGCAAGGAATGTTGGTGAGCTAAGTGCAGAGGTAAAGAACGTGTGCATGTTTGCCTTGGTGACGATAAATGTTTCCTTGGGTTGGCAAGGAATGATGATGAGTTAAGTGCAGAGGTAAAGAACGTGTGCATGTTTGCCTTGGTAACGATAAATGTTTCCTTGGGTTGGCAAGGAATGTTGGTGAGCTTAGTGCAGAGGTACAGAACGTGTGCATGTTTGCCTTGGCGACGATAAATGTTTCCTTGGGTTGGCAAGGAATGATGATGAGTTAAGTGCAGAGGTAAAGAACGTGTGCATGTTTGCCTTGGTAACGATAAATGTTTCCTTGGGTTGGCAAGGAATGTTGGTGAGCTAAGTGCAGAGGTACAGAACGTGTGCATGTTTGCCTTGGTGACGATAAATGTTTCCTTGGGTTGGCAAGGAATGTTGGTGAGCTAAGTGCAGAGGTACAGAACGTGTGCATGTTTGCCTTGGTAACGATAAATGTTTCCTTGGGTTGGCAAGGAATGATGATGAACTAAGTGCAGAGGTACAGAACGTGTGTATGGTTGCCTTGGTGACGATAAATGTTTCCTTGGGTTGGCAAGGAATGATGACGAGCTAAGTGCAGAGGTACAGAACGTGTGCATGTTTGCCTTGGTAACGATAAATGTTTCCTTGGGTTGGCAAGGAATGTTGGTGAGCTAAGTGCAGAGGTAAAGAACGTGTGCATGTTTGCCTTGGTAACGATAAATGTTTCCTTGGGTTGGCAAGGAATGTTGGTGAGCTAAGTGCAGAGGTAAAGAACGTGTGCATGTTTGCCTTGGTAACGATAAATGTTTCCTTGGGTTGGCAAGGAATGATGATGAGCTAAGTGCAGAGGTACAGAACGTGTGTATGGTTGCCTTGGTGCCGATAAATGTTTCCTTGGGTTGGCAAGGAATGATGATGAGCTAAGTGCAGAGGTAAAGAACGTGTTTATGGTTGCCTTGGTGATGATAAATGTTTCCTTGGGTTGGCAAGGAATGATGATGAGCTAAGTGCAGAGGTAAAGAACGTGTGCATGTTTGCCTTGGTAACGATAAATGTTTCCTTGGGTTGGCAAGGAATATTGGTGAGCTAAGTGCAGAGGTACAGAACGTGTGCATGTTTGCCTTGGTGACGATATATATGTTTGTCATGGTTGGGGCTGATGTTGCCGTCAGAGAGAAAGTTTGTGTTTTGTAAAATGGATGTCCTAAATACCGTTCAGAGTGTTCTTTGCAGACTATAACCCATCGATTATCCAGGGCACGTCCTCTCAGAGTGAATGTATGAGTGCGGAGTTAAACAATAACCAACAAAACCACGGCTACCTCTAAAACTGCATCCTCAAGACAGGTGATTTATTGTTGGATGACCTATTTTCTTCACGGCTGAGAGGCCACGTTTGCCGACTCTTCCTCATGCTAACAGGTAACATATTGGAGGGACTTTACATAGGTCACTACAAAGGAATGTGACATTATTGTAAGATACGTGTGACGGATGTCCTTGTCGGTAAGGTAAGCTATATAGGCAGAACGCCACCCCAGTTTAAGGAAACGGTCATTTATTACCAGGGTGGGTGAATCAACGGAGGGTGACCAGGCACTCTCTTGGTGAAGCATTTATAAAAAGTGCATTTGCATTTTGTCTTTTCAGGGAGGGTTTGATGAAGAGTGAAAAAGATGAGTGAGTGAGTATGGTTTTACGTCGCTTTTAGCAATATTCCAGCATTATCACGGAGGGGTACATCAGAAATGGTCTCCATACACTGTACCCATGTGGGGAATCGAACCCGAGTCTTCGTCATGACGAGCGAACACTTTAACCACTAGACTACAATGACATTGGAATGGTCATCTGAACATATAACAAATATTTGGGACTGTCGTTGATATGAGTACGTTACCACATCTGACAAAAAACGTCAACTACCATCCCTCCATCACTTGAACGGCACAACAGTAAGTCACAAGCGTGAATAATATAATAAAATATCCATTACCCCAGACACAATAATCAGCAAATTTATTCATAAACAATATCTGTTGCATATTTGATTATTTACAAACGGCCCTCATGCGGCTGCTGTATTGCTGAGCGTGGCGTTAAACAACTAACATCAAAGGGAAACACGTGAGGGTTTTTTTTCAACAACAGCTGAGTGTAGCGTGACCTGGGCGAATAATGCAGAATTAATGTTCAACAGTGGTTTGAATGTGAGCGCACTTTGTCCGCGGATACACTGTTTCATCTTCGTAAGCCCTCGGGATTTAGAGACAGTGAGGGTCACATGTCTTTCCCAGTCCTGACACTGCTGCAGGTGAACAGATTTGCCGGATGAAGCGGTCCTGAACGCCATGGTGACAAGTGGTCTGCCGGACTGGGTCATTTATGCTCAACACCAGTATGTCCAGGGACATTTATTGAGTGAGAGAGTGAGTTTTAGTTTTACGCCGCTTTTAGCAATATCACGGCGGAGGACACCAAAATGGGCTTCACACATTGTACCCATGTGGGGAATCCAACCCGGATCTTCGGCGTGACGAGCGAACGCCTTGAGCACTAGGCTACCCCACCGCCAGGGGACACATGGAAAACCTTGGACATCTTCTCCTACTCCCGACCGTTGGATCAGACAATCCGATGACTGACATCATGAGCATCGACTCAGCCATGATATAGATGTTCCAGTCACATGACCGAATCGGGTTTTCTTGAACTTCTTTTAAGAAGAAAATGAGAATCACGCGTGTCTGCAGTTTAGAAGATTGGTCGTTTTCTGAATATCTTTATATTTTTTTAGTATTGAAACAAGAACGACAGTTGAGATTGTAAGTGTTATAGCGATGAGTGAGTGAGTGAGTTTAGTTTTACGCCACACTCAGCAATATTCCAGCTATATGGCGCTAGTCTGTAAATAATCGAGACAACCCAGTGATCAAGAGCATGAGCATCGATCTTCGTAAGTGGGAACTGATGACATGTGTCCACTACGTCAGCGAGCCTGACCACCCGATCCCGTTAGTCGCCTCTCACAACAAGCATGGGTTGCTGATGATCAATTCTAACATTATAAAATCTAACCCGGATCTTCACGGGTAGTGAAAAAATGTAGTACAACGTCGAAATGTAGTACAAATTATATAATCCATCTTGAACGAAAATGACGATGTTTTGGAAATACAGTGGTTCTTTAATTTACCTGCCATGGTGGATACTTTAAATGGTTAAAACGTCATAAGCCAATTCAGAAATCATCGTTCTGTTTGTCA